TGCTAACCAGAAAGTTGGTGGTTCAAATCCACCAGCTGCTCTGTGGGAGGAAGATGAGGCAATCTACATCCATAAACATTTAGAGCCTTAGAAACCCTATAGGGGTTTCTGTGAGTCAGAATCAATGTGATGGCAATAGGTTTGGTTTTTGGCTTGGATGGCACAATGGCTAAGTGCTCAGCTGATAACCAAAAGGTTAGCAGTTTGAAGCCAACAACAGAGGTGTGGGAGAAAAGAGCTAGCCCTCTGCTCCTGTAAAGGTTATAGCTTAGGAAACCCTATGTATGGGACAGTTCAGTTTTATCCTTTGGGGTTACTATGAGTCAGAATCATCTCTACAGCACACAACATAACACATGTAAATATAAAACCACGGCCGTTGAGTGGATTCTGACTCATAGCAACCCCCCTTGGGTTTCCAAGGCTGTAGATCTTTGCAGAAGTAGATTGCCCCATCTTCCTCCAGCAGAGCAGCTGATAGGTTTGAACCACTGACCTTCTGGTTAGCAGCTAAATGCCTTACCCACTACAGCAAAAGAACTCCAACATACGTGTGTGTGTGTGTGTGTGTGTGTGTACAGATACCTACCTATAGACATATATATGTATATATAAGAAGCTCTGATGGTGTAGTGCCTAAGGCATTTGACTGTGAACCAGAGGTTGGTGGTATATGGATCCATGGGCTGGATATGGTCCCTGGGCCACCGTTTTGCCCCCTTCTTGTGAGCAGCTCATCTTGACCTTCCAGTGCAGAGGAGCGGCCTGCAGGGCTGAGCCGTTCTCAGGCCAGTAAGAAGCAGCAAGCCTTTTGGTTACTCAATCATGGGCTCTGGAGTCAGACTCCTGAGTTAAAGTCCTAGACCTACCACACTCCAGCTATGACTTTGGGTCTCTCGTCAGGTTTCCTCATCTCCAGCACCGAGTTCACGTCAGTTTCCAATGAGGAAGAACGCACATCCTGGGCATGGATGAGGGAATTCCTAGCCTGTAGTTAGAATACAATGCTTGGAAGCAGACATTATAGTCTCAGGTGGGCAACCCTTTAAAATCCTGGCCCTTTATAGGACCTGTTATTCACTGTGAAGGGCAGAATCCATTTGGGTTCGTTGGTTGCCAGCAACAGAAACCAACTCCCACTCATGTAAGCCCCAGAAGGTTTTTTGGGGAAGAGATCTGGACTAGCTCACAATCTGCATGAAAATGAAATAATCAGGCTTTGAGAAGGACCATGAAGAGACTAGCTGTCGGGGTTGAAGTTGGAAGGAACTAAAAGACAGTCTCTTCAGGGTGTGGCTGTTGGAATGAATTATTCATTCCCTGATTTAAATTCCCAGAGAATAGTCCTATTGGCTGACCTTGAATCATGTGCCCACCCCTTCACTAGGAGCAGGGCATTTTGTGGGACAGCCTTGTCAAAACTGTAGTCAATTGAGGTGTGTAACTGAGGATAGACAGGGTGGGATAGTCTGTGTTATTGTCATGTGCCGTCAAGTCAATTCCAATTCATAGTGTCCTTAGAGGACAAAGTAGAACTGCCCCCATGGGATTTCCCAGGCTGGAATTTTTATGGGAATAGGTCATCAGCTCTTTTCTCCTGCAGAACCACTGGTCGCTTATAACCACTGACCTCTTCATTAACAACCGGGTGTGTGACCATTGCATCAGCAGGGCTCCTTAGGAATAGGCTATACTGCAGCAATACTTAAACTCAGAAATCTTAGTGGCTTAACAAAACACAGGCTTATTTCTTACTCAAATAAAGTCTGGAATAGATTTAGTGAAACTCTCCAGGACAGCTCTGCTCCACACACTGACTCAAGGATCCAGTCTGTTTCCATATCATGGCTTTGCCATCTCAACCTGTACCCTCCATAAAAACCCAAACCAAACTCACTGCCATCGAGTCGATCCCAACTCATAGTGACCCCCATGGGGTTTCCAAGGCAGTAAATCTTTACAGAAGTAGATTGCTCAGTCTTCCTTCCATGGAAGGAAGTGGCTGGTGCGTTTGAACCGCCAACCTTCTGGTTAGCAGTCAGATACCTTAGGCACTGTGCTACCAGAATGCCTTGTACCCTCCACAGCTACTGCCAAAAGAGGAGAGGCAATAGGAGGGCCACAGGGGGTGTTTTAATTGGCCAAGCCTGCAAGTGGCTCGTAACATCTCCGCCCTCGTTCTGTTGGTGAGAAGCCAGCAGTGGCATCACTAGGGGGGTGTGGAGGGTGAGGAGTGTACAGGTGACATTGTCAGCAAGGGGGACCCCAAAATGACTGTCTATCAAATTTGTGTACAGTGTTTTAGCAGAAATTTATTATTTTTTATAATAAAATCTCTATAGTTTGTTGTAACAACAAAAACATTTTTCATAAGCTCAGCTTACATATATGAAGAATTATTGTAGTTGAGTAATGATGACAGCTCTGACCCTCCAGTGCTAATTTTCACTTTGAACTTCTAATGCACTCTGGGGTCAGAGCTGTCATCATTACTCAATTACAGTGACGCTTTGAATCACGTGGTTTCGCGTGCATCTCCTACAAGCACACACTGTTATCGCTGCCAGTGTTTTTGTAGCTGCTGATTTTTTGTCCAATTTTGTGGTGTTTTAGCTAAAATATTATGATAGTTAGTATGTGTGAATCTGTATCCATAACTTTTTTGAGAATGAAGTGGTAATTAAAGGAAAAGAAGGAGAAAAATCAAAAAAGACTTCCTGCTCAGTTACCCATAAATGTTGTAACAATGTTGTAATGCAGTGTAGAAGGATTTTACAAAATAATTTTATTAGTAGTATTCATATAATCTAATATTACCTATAACAGTTTATACTGTATCACATATTATTCTATGATTAAAATTGATACTAAATATAACTAAGGATTCTGTATAGTCTGGTACAGGAGGAGGCCCATGGGGGTGTGAGAATGGCACCATGAGTTACCTACTGCCCTGGGTGATACTAACCCACTGCACTGGGTGATACTGACCCTACTGATACCAGTGGGACCCAGCCACATGATCAAATCTAACTGTAAGGGAGACAGGAAGTGTGATCCTTCTAGTTACTGGAATAGGAAAATGAAATGAGATTTGATGAACACATCAGTTGTTTCTGCCATGGAAAGAATAAATACTAGAAGGAAAATGGAAGGGTTGATGCCAAAAATAAGGGAGAAGGGATGTTGGGCTGGGCTAGGAGATTTAATCCTCTTCTCTCCTCCCACACAGACCTTGCCCACGTGTCCTGCCCAGCCACCCTTCCACAGTCATGGCGGCCTATGGCCAGACGCAGTACAGCACGGGGATCCAGCAGGCTGCTCCCTACACAGCCTACCCACCTCCAGCACAAGCCTACGGAATCCCTTCTTACAGTGAGTACCAGACAAGACCTTATGTTCTTCCTGGGGTCACCAGCATCCTAGTCTTTATTGTGCCCTGTTGCTTCAGGTAAATGCAGAATGCCATCAGTCTAATTTTGGATTGAAGACAGAGGAGAAGGAGAGGTACTTTAAATGTGGTTCAAATTTTACAGACTGTATCAAAGCCTCTTGATTGAAAAAGGGGCTCTGGTGGTACAGTGCCTAAAGCATTTGACTACTAACCAGAAGTTTCGTGGTTCAAACCCACTAGCTGCTCCACGGAAGGAAGAGGGGGCAATCTGCTTCTGTAAAGATTTACCACCTTGGAAACCCAATGGGGATCACTATGAGTCAGAATTGATTCAGTGGCAGTGGGTTTGAGGTTTTTTTTTTTTTGGATTGAAAGTCAGAAATCCAGTTCAAGTTGGCTTAGAGAAAGTAGAGAGTTAATGATTCACATAACTGGGAGATCTGAGGGTAAACTGACATCAGGTGTGGCTGGATCCAGGTACTCAAGTGATGTCATGAGGAATTTGTCTCACTGTCTTCAGCTCTGCTTTCCTCTAAGCTTTACCTTCACCCAGGCTCGCCCCATCTGGAGGCAAAAATGGTGCCTATCATCTCTGGGCTCACATCCTTCAACTCAGCTCTTTTGGAGGAAGACAAGCCCTTTATTTTTCAGTAGCTCCAACAGAATCCTACAGATAAATTTCACCAACACGATGTTGCATGAGAAAAGCAAGTTGCTAATGGATGTGTGCTAAAAGATACAATGCATATAAAATTTTAAAACATGCAAAATAATACTTTACAGTGGGGTTGGCACACTACAATTCACGGGCCAAATGTGGCCCTCTGCCTGCTTTGTAAATAAAGTTTTATAGAAATATAGCCACATTCATTCCTTATCTTATTGTCTGTGTCTTTTCACTACAATGGCAGAGTTGAACAGTTGTGACCGAAACTCTCTAGCCCTGAAACAGAAAGAATATTAAATTTTAAAGAATGTTTGTGTTTTATAGTCTCTCTTCATTATTCCTATATTCTTTATTTGCAAATTTTTCTTCTTGCTAAAATTTATTTATCCTCCTAAAATCAATACTCAGGACAATTTCTCGTTTATGAGCAGATGTTGTGCAGAGCAGCAAGAAATTTGAGTCATCCAATAAACACATTCCCAAACAAGGCTGCTTCAGTATTCACTAATTCAGGATTTACGGAGACTTCATAGAACATAACTCTTCAAATAATGAGCATCAACTATATTTCAAATTATGATACCTCTTGCATAATGGATGGAAAAAGGGCTGTAAGAGGGAAGGTAACAAGGAGGACTTAATTTAGGTTCCATGGCCAGGGAAGGCCTTTTAGGTAAGAAGCTAATTCTGCTGAGAACTGAGAAGTGACCAGGCCAGAGGGAACAGTCCGTGGAAGCTTCAGAGACGGGAAGAAACTAGAGACCAGTGGCTGGAGCGTGTTGGGAAATGAGGCTAGGAGATGGGCAGGACCGTGGAGACCCCAGGAAGGATTTTGGATTTTATTCCAGGTGTGACAGAAAGCCATTGGAGGGTTTATAAACAGAGGGTTGTATGGTACAATTCTTAAAGATCACTTTGGCTGCTGTGAGGAGGTTGGATGGAAGGGAAGCAAAGAGGGAAACAGTTAAGGACTTCATGAACTCATGGAGGAGAGACATGGCAAAGGCCTGGCCAGGGCAGCATCAGTGGACAGACAGAGATGGACAGATTCAAGAGCAGCCCTCAAGGTGGAATTGGCAGATCATGTGGGATGTCTTAGTTTCTTCGGGCTGCTGTAGCAGAAATACCATACCACAAGTGGGTGGCTTTAACAAACAGAAATTTATTTTCTCACAGTTTAGGAGACCAGAAGTCCAAATGCATGGTGCTAGCTCTAGGGGGAGGAATTCTGGTAGCATAGTGCCTAAGGCACTTGACTGCTAACCAGAAAGCTGGCTGTTCAAACCCACCAACCACTCCTCAAAAGGAAGGTTGGGCAATCTACTTCCATAGTGACTGCCTCGGAAACCCAAGGAGGGGTCGCTATGAGTCAGGTCCGACTCCATGGCACATAACAACAACAACTCTAGGGGAAGGCTTTCTCTCTCTGTTGCATCTGGGGGAAGATCTCTTTCATTTTCTTTAGAGCCAGCATTTCTTGGCAGTCTCCATGGAGATTAGGTCTTCCCCTGTTTGCTTTCTTGCTTCTGTGCTTAATCTGCTCTATTTATACCTCAAAAGTGATTGGACTCAGGACACACCCTTCACTGGTATAGCTTCTTTAGCATAAGAAAGAAAACCCTGTTCCCCATGGGATTACATTCACAGGTATAAAGGTTAGGATTTATAACACATATTTTTTGGGAGGACACAATTCAACCCATAACATAAGGGCATCAGGTTGGGCACTGGTAATAGTATCTGTCATTGATTTGCTGCCGCTGATGGTGTGTTATGTCCTCGAATGCCTTTAATACTCACATCAGCCTTATGAGGAAGGTCACATCCTCCTCCTCATTTGAAGAATAAAGAAATGGAGGCTCAGAGAGGGTATATAACTTGTCCAAGGTCACCCAGCTGGTTGGTGGCAGATGTAGAATTAAACACAGCTTGGCTCTGGAGTCCAAGTTCTTTAATGCTGGCTCTGCTGCCTGGATGTGCATTCCATAAATCCTGGGGGATTACCTATTACAGACCTTGGCCAACAGGTGTGGGCATCTTTTCTCCCTCTATCTCCTGGCCTAGAAGACTTAAGATACAGTCACGCCTAAGTTCCCCCTCCTGGCTGACAGCCAAGAAAAATGAAGCCAAGTTACTTTTCAGCACAAAAGGGAAAACTAGCCTTGTTCGCTGACCAAACACAGCATCAGATGGGAACTAATTTGGTTCAAAGTTATTTTACTGTCTCGGTTACTTTTCAAAGTCTGTCTCCTGATAATGCAGTGTGAACGACAAGAGCACAGGTTGTAGAGTTCTGCCACCTGATTCGCATCCCACCTCTGAGCCTTGGTCATAGCTGTGAGACCTAGCGTAGGCCACCTCACCTCTCTGAGCCCCAGTTTCCTCGTTCATACACTGGGAGCAGTATTAAGTCTGGCCTCCTCAGGGTTGTTCTGAGGATTAAATGAGATCTTCTGTATCAGAGATGAAGGAGGCTTGGTGGTGCAACCCTTACACACACAGCTGCTAACTGAAAGGTTGGAAGCTCAAACCCACCAGCCGCTCTGTAGGACACAGACCTGGCCATCTATTCCCATAAAGATTACAGCCTAGGAAACAACCCTGTGGGACAGCTGTATTCTGTTCCACAGGGTCACAAGGACTCAGAATCAACTTGACAGCACGTAACAACAACAACAACGTATGAGAGGTTGGCTAATTTTTTCTGTAAAGGACCAGATAGTAAATATTTTCCACTCTGTGGGCCATATCGTCTGTGTCGCAACTACTCAACTCTGCCATTGTAGTGCAGAAGCAGTCCGACAACACGTAAACTGGGTGTGTTCCAGTAACACTTTATTGACACAGATAGACAGTGAGCTGTGTTTGGCCCATGGGCCCTCATTTGCTGACCCCTAATCTGGCTGGCTCGCAAAGCCCAGCTGAGGGGAAATGCTCAGTCAATTCCAGCAATGTCAGTAGAAGCCAGGTTGACGACACACCCAGGACGTCCATGTCACTGAATAATAACAGGCGGGGTGAAAGCTGTTTCCTTCTCATTGCCTGAGCAAGCAGATGTATTTGCTAATTGTCTGGACAAACGTTGTCGAGTCTTGTTGGGAAACATTTTTTTTACTACTCCTTGAAAATAGTATTATTTACTTTTGTTTGAATAGCTGCAGGGAAATGACACAGTTCAGCAAACTAGAGACAAGAGGTTAGAGCTATTGAGTATTTTCCCTCAAGTGATTATGCAATATTTAAGAGATACATAAAAGCTTAAACAATTGGACTACAAACACCCATGGTCAACCATCCAACTTATTTAAAAAAAAAAAAAAAAAAAGGAATGGTACCCCCTTTCTTCTCAGAGATTTGATATTAATCATTCCATGCATTTTTTAAAAAAAAATGTAGAACAAATGTTTTCTGTAATGGGCCAGATAGTAAATATTTTTTACTTTGCAGGTCATACAGGGCTCTGCTGCTGTTGTTGTTGGGTGCTGTTGTGTCAGCTCCAACAGGTAGTGACACTGTGTACAACAGAATGAACTGTTGCCTGGTGTTGCACCATCCTCACAATCACTGCTTTACTTGAGCCCATTGTTGCAGCCACTGTGTTGGTCCATCTTGTTGAGGGTCTTCCTCTTTTTCACTGACCCTCTACTTTACCAAGCATGATGTCCTTCTCCAGGGAGTGGTTGCTCCTAAGAACGTGTTCAAAATACGTGAGAACAAGTCTTGCTATCCTCTCAGGAGTGTTCTTTCTGTACCTCTTCTAAGACAGATTTGTTTATTCCTCTGGCATTCCATGGTATGTTCAATATTCAGCACCATAATTAAAATGCTTCACTTCTTCTTTGCTCTTCTTTATTCGTTGTCCAGCTTTCGCGTGTATATGAAGCCATTGATAATACCATGGATCGCCAAATGAAAATACTCCTTTGCAACTACTTAAACCTGCCATTGTAGTGTGAAAAGCCATGTTGTTGTTGTTGTTATGTGCTGTCGAGTCGGACCCGACTCATAGCAACCCCTCCTTGGGTTTCCAAGGCAGTATCACTGTGGAAGTAGATTGCCCCATCTTCCTTCCGAGGAGTGGCTGGTTGGTTTGAACTGCCAGACTTCTGGTTAGCAGTCAAGTGTCTTAGGCACTATGCTACCAGAGCTCCCGTGAAAAGCCATAGACAATTAAAAAAAAAAAAATGGTGAGCATGGCTGTATTCCAATAAAACTTTATTTACAGAAATAGGCAGAGGACTACGTTTGGCCTGTGGGCCATAGTTTGTAGATCCCAATGTAGAGCGTTATTTGGCATGTTTTAAAACTTTATATACAT